TAATGCGTCAAAACTAAAACAAAATATGATACTACTATAACAATTTAATTAGAAATTACCATATTATAGTAGTAAACACCTTCTATATGTAAACTATAGATGGGTGTCGTCTTCGCATTTATTTTATCGTTCAAAGGTTCACATGAGTGTTATCAGACGTGACGTAAAGATTAAACGTGTAAGTAAACATTTAATAAAAAAAATTGCTCTCTCCTAATGTAAATTGGATTACACTTTTAACAGGTCAACTTGAATACGTTTTATAAAGCTCTGTACAAAAACAAGAACTAAGTATGCATGTGGCATATTAGTAATCGCTGTTACTTCGTTAACAATAATAAGATACAAGACCTAATGACGCTTTATAAAGATAAAGAAATTACTGAAATTCTAACTACAACTTTAGGCTCTAAGAACCAGACTTTGATGTACTCAAAAGCTATAAAACAAAAAAAAAAAAACATTTTTTTCATAAACTTTCGCTAAAAATGTTTACAAAAAGCTTTCCGGGTCCGGTACACGGTATTGTCCTTTGTGCCCGTCTCGCACATAGTCGACACACCGCCGGGCTTGTGCGCGGGAGGACCGTGCAATGTCGGAAAGCAGTCGCCTGTGATTAATATATTTATGTAGGATAAAGACACCTGGGGGGGGTGGGTACCTACTCGACGTCGGACTAACTTCTGCGCCTGCTAATAAGACGAATCAACCACAAAGTAGTGGAGCAAACATTGCGGCGGCGACGGGACAACACGACGGTAAAGGCGATAACACAATTCGGTCCGCGCCGAGGAGAGGTCTGAAGTGCTAAAATCTGCTGTGGCAGAACAATAGCCGCCTCCGGGGGGTTCGTTCGGTCTCCGGAGGGACGTGCGATATTCAAACGCAGCTAGTACAATATGTACAGCACGGGGAAAAGCTAATCGTCCGGATCGGGGAACTTAAGTATACACACACACACACACACACTATCCGCCGCCAAAAGCACAGCTACAGCCGAATATAACCCGTGCCCGATTTACGACTTTTAATTATAATAATAGTCCGCCCTGTGTGTTATAACTCAGGCGGCCAACGAGACGAAGTTCATTATTATATAATACACACACGCGCATACTTGGGTGAAGTTAGTGCGGGGGTGGCAGTGCTTCAATTGGTGGTGCAGGAGGCGTCGGCCGTATGCTGTGCAGAGTTCGGAGAACTTATTAAAAGAGACCGTTTTGAACAGCAGAGTGCCGTTGTGTGTATATTCCGATTGTGTGCGTTTGTGAGTAAAAGTTTAACACCGGGTGTTCTACGATAAACGGTTTTTACGATATCGCGCACATACCCCGGCCAAGCTTTGACGGTGTGAGCGAGCTTTGTTTTTTGTAATAATCGTTTAAATACTTAAAAAACATTAGCACACACACACACGCGCGCGCGCGCCCGCCATCGCTTCTCTTTGCGCTACCAGCCGCTGAAATTTCTTCTCGGGTACAATATTCTTTTATGTAGTTTTTTTTTTTTTTTTTTATCTCCTCCTTTTATACACATATAATATACCTATAATTGTGCGTGCGCGTTCGTCACGTACGCGGTTCGCGAAAATGGAAAAAGCGTCCGACGACAAAATCGAATGTGCATAAATTAGACCGTTTTGCGAGGGAAAGAAGTATAAGCAAATTGTCCCCTATACACAGGGTCAGCTAGCTAGTCGAATCGTCCTCTCAACGTGTCCGGGACACCTTAAAAGAGAGGTAGAAGGGGGAGGGGGTGACTTCATTGCCTTACATAATATTATACGACTCCCTGCGGGCAATACACATACGGTTCGGGGCTACAGCTAAAAGGTGGACACAGCACACAATTGTTTGTTGTGTCCTTTTCCTCTGGTCGTATAATATGTACAATTCGAATTTTGGTATACCTGTTCCACGAGGGAAATTGCATTACACTGTGTTCCCAATATCGTTTAAACGTAACGTAAAGTTGTACACTTGTTTTCTTTGCACACAATATGCAAACATCTTCCTCCGTTTTCCCTCTGACCCCTACACACACACGGTTTTTGTTTATAATTAAATTTTTTATCGACGCGCAACAACCCGACGGTGAAATCTAATATAACACTGTCGATTTGATCAGCAAATACGAATTACATCAACACAGAACTAACATTGTACGATGTACCTACGGCTTGGTCGACCAAGTCTTTCGCTATTGCCTTGTATTATGTATATTTTTTACCGTGAAACATCCATAGCGATCCCAGGTGTCATCCCATGAGGTACCTCTCCGCCATTGCTATTTCCATATATCTACTGGCAAAGTAAAATAATAACTTTTATTACTCGAATAGTGTAATTGGCTGCTCAATTGGGATTTTTTCAAGTTTTCCTAATACCAATAATAGTGAAACATTAAATCGTATAAACAAATAGAATCGAAGACAGTACACGCATAATAAGCCTCCTCCGAGCTTACCCGATTTCCTAATAGGGCTACAATCCCCTTCTCGTTGGGTAATTTTATGTAAAAATTTAAAAAAACGCGGATTAAAATGCAGTAGACTTTCTTTGTAGCGTATTTTGTATAATAGGGCGCTAGCCGTCAGTAAATATCAAGTGTTGTATTCATCGAGTGAGATAAAAAAAAAATCCCTATAATAAAGCACATATCATTTCATTGTTAAACCCCATTTTGTCAACATCTTTACACACTACAAAGCTGTTGGAATTTATAATTTTAGTGGAATTCGTTACTTAGGGGATTTTTTCCATCGAGTCGACTGACAAAAGCTCTCCAGACACAAAACCGTCGGTTAGACGAGGACCAACAATTCCTGCTTGACGCTAAACGGAAGAAAACAAACTACATATAGAATTTTTTTTCATTTTTTTTTTTTTTTATTGCATTTGCCAATACCAATGAAAATCGTTGGATGATTTTTAAGGGTTGTACAAAAGAGAGAGCCGATTAAGTGCTTACTCGCTCAATGCTTTAGTGGGATTACGAAATGACGGCAGTTATTTTGTCTTTTAAAGCCAACCCATTAATTCTGTTTATTTCGGCACATTTTTTAATCCTATTTCCGGGATTGTGGCGTCCGAAGTGAATCTATGATTTTTCACAAAAACAAGAGATTATCAGTAAAATAAACAAATACTACAGCTAGACATATTAGTTTAGTGGTCGTTGCGTTGCCCGAATTACTATTTCTACTTGAATGGTCTGCTTCCATTGTTGTTAACACAAAATTCGTTGTTATAATTCCTATGACAATTGACCTGACTCTGTCTTCAGACTTTAAACAAATTTTTGTTATTCGCCTGATGCAAAAACTTAAACAATATTCGAATAACAGCAGCAAAAGTGTACTACTGTGTTATGCGCTTTTCCAGAAAAACAAAACGAATCGACCGGTCTACCGAAAACTAAATTTATCAGCTGCTATACAGGAAAAGATGAAACGCCTGAGAACGGACACACGTCGCTCGTGCGACCGTTGAATATACGGTTTAGCTTCTTTTTTTTTTCTGCACAAGTATAATCGAAAATACCAACACGCGCTAAATTCAATCCGGACGTTGATGTTGTTTGCAAGTCTATTTTTCAAGTATCCCAAAGACAGTGTGTTTTGCAGTAGATGGCATTTTTCATCCGGACTTGTGTTGGCAATTATGTTAATTTTTCCGAATCCGACCGGCGAACAATCGCGCGTTCTTATTTTTCCGCAGTAACGTTTTCCTATAATATTATCTAGCTTGGCTTTTTCTTTATTTTTTTTTTTTTACCATTCGAGCGAACCACTCGTACACACTCGCATGAAATCCTATAATGGAATATACATATTATACCGGTAGAAATGCATTTTCCCCGACAAAATAGAGCACTCCCGGAATGTTATGTAAAATTCACAAAGTAGATCTGTTCGCTACGGCCTTTTTTTTTTTTTCTTAATGCAGACATCCCGGTGCATGTGCTTATTGGTCGGAGATCAGAATTGACAAATAAAACGGATTGCATAGCTGTGATTTTGACAGCAACGAGTAGTATTATATGAATGCCTGTCGTTGACGTAAACACCTTATAGGTTAGGTCGACCGAATCAGCAAATATTATGCACTTACAAACAGCGGCACACACACACACACACAAAACATATCTAAGGCGTTTGTCGCCAAACAAGCTTTACACGCTTTTTCCGCCGCCACGACGTCGTTCAACAGGCTACATATTTGTCGGTACCGAAATATACAGTATGACGGTGCTAAGTGCTAACTACATTACTTTGAAAAATTTTCTCCAAATAATGTATGCGCATTTGACAAAAACAGGGTCAAAGTTGGTTTTCTTTTCTCTGGTAAAATACATACCTACGGGCTAAATAACATTTTAGCGCAAAACAAACATTTATTTCGTCGACGACAACGCAAAGAATACGTTTTAAGTGAAACTTTATTTTCATTTTCCACGCTAAAACTTCTTTGCCCCGAGTTCATGTACATTTGTATACCGCGAACGTTTTTTTTTTTTTTAATATTATTCTTTAATCTAATTATGACATATACAATGCACATTTTACTTGTATAAGCCGCATTTTTTTTTTGTATAATACTTTTTTAATTCTATGGTCGAGCACACTCCTAACTGGTAACCACATTGACACTTCAATAGACTTGTTATAAAAGCTATAATATTATATACATTTTTTTCTTTCGATATTAGCATTCGTGAGTTTTAAAGGAACGTATTCATAAACAATTAGTTCGAAATACACTAACGGTTAGAGTTTATAGTTCAACTAGTTTTTACATTCAACACGTTAAACGTTTTTAGAAAATAATCATTTTAATGGGTATAATTTTTTAAGTTTTCAAAACTTTCCAACGCTAATGAACCATCGCGCTGACTTTCTTTTTTCATGAATAATAATATCATTATTCAATTACCCTTTTGATGCGGTGGTTTAAAAAGTACACTTTCAATGAAATCTTACCCGAAAATTATTTTTACAGGTCAAATTCACGAGCCGGACGAAGTGATGCCCGAATTCTATGCTCCGCTAGAAAATTGGACAGTCACTCAAGGCAGAGATATTTATTTCACTTGCACCGTCAACAACTTGGGAAACTATAAGGTAAATTCAATTTTTTTTTTTAAACCACTTTTCTCCACAATTGAGAATCGTATAAGCTATATAAGTGGTTAGTAAAATCTGCTGTTGAAATTAGCCTTACAATGTACCACAAAAAAGAATGAAAAACATTATTGTAGCAATATCTTTTTGGCAAGTCAATATTAATAAAGACTTACACTCGTTATGCTAAGAGGGCTGTGAAAACGCCTCCGCCTCGTCGAGCTCTCCGGTTACGGCCAATTTTCCGACTCATTTACCAGAGAAAAACGTCTTAAGCACCGATGTAGAACCAATATTTTAATTGACAGGTTAAAATAACTTTTGATGTTGACTAATGACTCAAGCAGCGAATATTTAAAATAAACAAGTGTCAAAGTGAGTCGATTTTTATAAGATTAATTGGTAAAAAAATAATTTGTTAGTGCTCTCAAAAAATAATCATAATAAATAACACGAGAAATATTTTCGAAAATTAAAAATTAAGAACTTCAATAGTTCCTTGTTAGTTTATAAATCAAATGTTAATTTATAATTTATAATACATATTTATATATATATTTGTTCGGTAACTCTTGTATTCAAAACTATTCATTACAATGAAAATTATAATACTTGGTCAGGTAGATCCTGCAAAACTTTTCAGTTTTCAAGTTCCTTGTGATATTTCAGCAAGCAGGTTGGCGTAATAACCAAAGAGGTTTTTTTACCTTCATGTTGAAGTATAAAGGAATTTTGAAAGCACTACTAGAAAAAACTCATTTGAACATATGACAATTTAGTCATATTATAGTTATAACTTCTTCATTTTCAAACACTGAGCGCAAACCACTTTGACTTTTGTTTGATTAAATACTCCTGCTGTAAACTTAAGGGGCATCTACACTAGCATTTATTAAGGCGCAATGTAAAGCCAATTTTTCGCTAAAACTTAACATTAAGCTAAAATTAGGCAATACTGTGGCACAATTTTAAAATTATTTTTAGTCAATTAATTCTTTCAATGTAAAATACTGCAATTTTTTACTTTTTTAAACTGAAATAATCAATTTAAAACAGTACGTTTAAAGTAGAATGAGTTGTTTTCTACCAAAATAACGCAGGTGTAGAGGCCGCTAACGAATTAATATAAATATATAATTTAACATGCCAAAAATCAAAAACTTCTGTCCCCTAGTCTTAGGGTAACTTTTTTTAACCATATTCCCTGCTTTTTCGATTTTTATAACGAAGACATAATAATGTCTCACATTAATGAACAATAATTTAATTTCGTTCTAAACATAATGCCTTCATTATAGTTATAAACGCAAAATTCGCATTTATGTTTATTAATTACGTTTTAATATCGAAACTCGCGCCTGGTAGATAACGCCAGGTTGATTTAATGTTATTTTCTTGATTCCTAATGTTGTGATCTGTTATCAAACCCGTACAAAGGATGCGCACTTAAGAGCTGTACATTTTATTGGTAGCCTATTGTTTTCGTGCAGGACATTGGGACTTCAATTGTTTGACTTTGTTGGTCGCCAGCTCTCTTATTTTTGGATATTTAAAAATTATAAGGGGAGGAGGGGGAGGCTCACTTTTAGTAGCCATAAAATTTACCCGTGTCCGTTATCAGTGATCGTTGTAATAAAAGTCGTATAACAAACTGTTTTCCGCGTTAAATACACACTTTATGAGCTTTTAGTTAACTCAAAAGATAATAACTTAACACGTTTTACATGACTAAACACGCTTTATCGGATTCCAGTTATGACTTTTTTAGCCGTACTGTGTACACACTGAAAACGTCAGACAATTTGAGCTGTTTGACTAAATTTCTAAAATTACCCGCCTAATCTACCCTACAATATTCTGGTCGACGCCCACTAGTTGATTACATGTTAAGTTAACCCACGGTGATTTTAAATTTATTTTTTTTGGGACAGGTTTAGCAAAAAATTACAACCAAATTTAGCAAGATTCGCTTTGCGGGATTACACGTGCCAACCGTAATATATATATATATATAACGCACCGTACTGCATTGGTAGTTTGCGCATTCACCGTTATTACCGCTTTACTTACATTTAACCGGCACGTTAAACCGTAGTTGGTTTAACTTGAGTTTATTTTGCAAACAGAACTACAATATAAGTGTTTTGTGGACACCACAGTTAGGTCATACATATATGTATAATATATGTAGTAGCAATAATAATAATTTTTATGAGAAATGTGTGTAAATATTACTCTTGTTAATTTAGTCAATCCGATTCATGTTGTTTATAATTTTAACATCGATGCAAAGCTGAAAACGTGTAGGTTTTACAATGTGTTTTTTTTTTTTTTGGATTTTAAGACACATTTTTTTTTTTACTAGTTTTCACTAATGTATTATCAAAAATAAAAACACGAATATTGATATAATATTTTACAATATTATGTAGATATTACAGTTAAACGCTCCGGGAAAAAAATATTGAATAAAATGTAGTTTCAGTATATACCTTGAGCGCTTATTCCAGTTTTATTTTTTGTTTAAATTAAAAACAGAGAATAACAGAATTTCAGACAATATGCAACTATTTTAATGATGCGGCCAGCGGCATTCTACTTACTATGTGTATAATGTACATTTTTTTTTCTGTGTTATGTATGTAATACATGACAATATCATATTAGTCGCGAAATGAGAGGTACGATGTAGATTATGGCTGTCATTATGATACTTTACAAGCCCCCTCCCCTTTTGTTGCTATACTACAGTCTACACTTTTAATATAGGCAACCAAACGCTACATTGACCTCTCTGATAACATGAAAACTCGTATCACCCATGAATTCCAAATAAGCTACCGAAATGGGTTAAACTTTACAAAATAATAATATATTATGCCGCGTGGAAATATTACAAGCGTACAAAAATGATATTCCATACCATAATATCTACGTGTCGTCCGGCAGGTATACGCCTGGTGCCTGAACGCGATAAGGAAACGGAAATAATATTATTATTGTAAGACCCCCAATGTCGGTGTCTCTTATTAAATTTGAATCAGACGTGACCTCTGAAAGGAAAACGCGTACTTGTACTTGATATTGTGGGGTGCGAGCGATTTTAGTTGGATTACATTATTTGTTGTAGCCTCGTCCCGTCTGTGCGCTCTAATAAAACGTACGGGCAGACAAAGAACTCAATCAAGCCCGATATATATCTATATATATATATAATATATCGACAACCGTGATCCGTCACCAAGTTTTTATTATTAGGTTTGTTAAGATTGCCTCGAGACAAGTTCTCCTCTGGGGCAAGTCGCCGCGCCGGACGGGGTCGACAATTGAACCGGAATATGCCCCAACACTTTCAACTTTTTCTGTTTTTCATCACCTTCGGCACACACCTTAACACTTCGGTCTCAAAAATATATGACCGCACACGTAGGTATACGCATTTTACGGAAGTGTTGCAAACGCTTAAAACTCGCCGAAAACGAATCCCTTCCGGTCAATAACCATATATTTGTGTACCGTATATGTGTTACTATGATTTAGGCTTTAGGGTGAAAATAGTAATACACCACGGACAGGTTTCGCTGAACGACATTAACAGTGTAGCCTATCGAGTCTCAATAATAATTTTCCAATACTTCGTAATAACCGGAATGACTCGATTTAAATATAATTATGTTTTACATAATATAATTGCGATTAATGAATGGGACACACGTGTTGCCGTTGAATAAGAACAAATCAGGAATTATCTCCTTTGATAGTATTAATTTTGTAATATTTTACGTTAATTAATACTATTTTGATTACTATTTGTTGTTTACTCGGTTTCGTAATAACGCATTGTCATAAACTCCGCAAATTTATCATTTTTACTCGTTATTTGGACCAAAACAAGTAAATATGAGTGAGTTTCTTTACTTTATCTTAAAAAAAAAAAAAATAATAAATAATAATGCGTTTCTTAGAAGAATAGTTACGTTACAACTAATTTTTCTCGTTTACAATATCTTGTGTAAGCACTCCTTATACATCAATAACAGTCAGCTGTCACTGTTGTTGGAGTCTAGAGACTATAAAAAGTGCCATCAATAATGTACATTGAGAAAACATTTTAACGTCAGTTATTTTGAAAGCATAATAATATTGACTTTAAACCTTTAGTCAATTTTAAGTACTAAGAAGTCTTATATGTATATATATATATTTTTTTTTTATTTAAGTACAAAAATGTTCTGTTTAAATACGAAACTGAATTATTTTTTACAGCGGAATAGATTAATAATGCCGATAAAATGATAATAATTATCAACATTTTCACATTTTATATAATTATATTTTTAAATATTTTAGGTCGCTTGGATCAAATCAGACTCCAAAGCTATTTTAGCTATTCATACCAACTTGATTGCTCACAATCACAGACTCGCCGTGACTCACAACGGACATAATACTTGGAAACTGCACGTATTCAACGTTCAAAAAAACGACACGGGAAGTTACATGTGTCAAATTAACACAGAACCGATGATAATACAGGTAAAATTAAACATATTATATAATGGTGCGAAGTAAGATTTTAATTTTATCGATATCAACTCTAATATTGTTTTAAGAAAATTTCAATTAACTTTTTTATAAATATTTCATTCTTATTCTTCGCAATTAAAAACAAGTAGATAACAAACCCCGTCGCAATATAAACCCCAGATAGTCGAAACTATTTTCTCTGGAATTCTTCCATATTAAACCATATTCTGTTCAGTCAGGAACTTAATACAAACGAGTCAGCGCTTATTCCGTTAAAATACGTTGGTCGCTTTTATTATGATTGGAAAATAAATATGTCTTAAGTGCATTTCGAGTAATCGAAAACAACAATAAAAAAACAAAAAAGCTACTTTGTTGAAACCTAATTTCACGGGAATTGTTAAGTGAAATATTATAGTATATTATGTATTTTGTAGAACACATTTTATGTATTACAACTTTTTTTTTCAAGTCATGAACTGCATAATATACATTTAATTTTTCATTATTTTGCTAAGATTCCGCAAAATAAAACCGGACGCTATTAAAATTAGTGTTTGTAAGACAGATTGATTTTCTAATTACCAACACAATGATTTCTATAACAAAGTGAACAGAATTGAATTAAATAAAAATAAAAATCATCGAATATTTAACAGCGGCATAAATATTTAACGGTTCGCAACAAAATGACTGCGAATCTCGATCAAACGAATATTACTTTACTTTACTGAGTCTTTAATTTTACTACACTGATCGCAAACTACTCGCAATAAAATCAAATTACAACATTAAAACACTATAAAGTAGCAGTAATTATTAAAAAAAAAACTTTCTGTAAGCTATAATTTATAAATGAAAAAATATTAATTGACTTACTGAAGTATCGAATACTTTTTGAATTCGAATTTTATGCAACTTGTTTTCCTAAGAGCGACAAAATTAATAATCGTTAATTTTTAATAATAATAATGTATATATAAAAGAAAAAACCACAACGGAAAAGTTTTAGGCAAGTTTTTTCTGTCACACCTGCAGTACCTAAGCGTATCGTAACGATTAGTTTTTGCCCTGCACTTCAACGGTACGGACCCTGTAAAGAAGTTTAATTGCTTTGTACAGAAATAATTCATACCTCAATTGCCACCCGAGTCCATCGATTATTTATTAACGACCGGAAGAAAAATCATCCCTCTCGAAATAGAAATGTTTTGGCGAGAGAAAAAAAAAGAAGAATCCGGAAAGACAAGTTGATTCACATTAAACCGTTGGAATTTTATTTCTATACAAATCACTGTATTGACGTTACCTACCTTGTCACAAAAATAATTATAATAGTAAAAATCTGCTACAAAATATGTCCAGCCAATTACCTAAATATTTGTGTCTTATTATATATGCCTCATTCATTACTGCATTTATCCGTTAAAAGTTAAGCCCCCGTGAGTGTAAATGAAAATAAACGAAATAACAACAATACACAAGACGCAAAAAGTAAAACGTAGGTACGACAGCAGTTTGCCAAAAACTTGCCCACTCACCGTATCCTTATTTCTCGCGTCATTTGCTAACAGCCGATTTCAGGTCACGTATTACCTTCTGTTCGCCCGCACAACCTGCGAGGGTGTCATTGCGATTTTCCCTTCCATTCGGTCTGATTAACCGATTTCCATAAAACATAATAAGCCCAACGATTTGTATTATATTTTACAAAGCCAACGGTTCCGGTATATACAGGCTGTAATGAGCTTTACTCAAAAACGTCATACTCGCCTCATAGTACAAACGATAACTAGACTTTTAATTTTAGCTACTTGTGTTGTACAAAAAAAACCCTACATATCACTTGATAGAATATTTTTCAAAGCTTTAAAAACCAGATAGTTACCCGATGTCTTATATATATATATATATATATATATATATATATATATATATATATATTATAGTATGTTCACGGCGGCAGACGTGGCTAACAATATAATACGCTTGGTTCATGATAATCGATGCTATAAAAATAAAACTCAAATGCCTTTTTCAAAAAGACCAACTCGTTTAGTATTCTAAGAACAAACATTTAGTTCATATTTATTTTTCTCAAGCTGAAAAAATGTAAGTTCTTGTTCTTTATACAATTTACTTGTTAAGGTAAAAAGCTTAACAAGTAAATTCCTTAGTTACAAAATTCCTAAGCCTAGGTTACTTGCAACCTCGTTCAGAGTAACAAATTGTTTTTTTTTATCGAAGCTTTAAAATAAATTTAAAACACATTTGTTAGCAAAATACATAATTGAAAATTCTAATACAAGTCATACAAATATATGAAAAATGTCCTTCTATACTTGGTCATGCTAAGTACATCGACATCTTTCAATACATTATCTACAATACAAAAACAAATTATTTGGACGAATATCAAAGATATTTTGAAGTAAAAGATAGTAAAACAATAAATATCTCTATATAGAGTATGTTGGAATGATTTATAATAAACAAAATACCCTTCTTGCAGTAAATCATTACTTAAATAATATAGCCATTGCACTTTGAAGCAAAAGCAACGAGTTTATATCAACTTAATTCGACGTTTTCAATTTAAACATTCATCATAGCTAGTATAAATAGAAATACCTTGCAATTTTGAAAACTCAGTTATAACAGCAAACAACGAAGACCGTCGCTATAGTTTTCTTTCTCTACATTATGAAACTAACAATCCATAATTATTAGTGAAGTTTTAAACTGTGAATATAATATTAAAATGTAATACTTTGAATAACTGGTATAGTTTATTAAAATAATTGCAGTAAAAGTCTTGCTGTTTCTCTCAATTGGAAAATTGAGCCCTCTTTACACAAAAAGTTAGGGGAAACTTTTTATTTAAAAGCTCTAATTATAATTGCTAAATAAAAGTCTTCACATGTACTTACTCATTTATAATGTCGTCTAACCTAGTCAGTTTTTCTTTAATCCCAAATGTCACTTTTTTGTTACACAAGCTGCTTCATTTAATCACATTTTATTCTTTTCACCAAATTTTCCAATATTGACTATTAATTCATAATCTATAGAACTGTGTAAAACCCATATGGTTTTATTATTATTTTAACTACTTTTGTTATCTTCTATACCGTTCAGTCACACGACAAAACGGTTGGGATTAATGAGAAATGTCTACTATTTGAGATTTCTAAAAAAGAGCATCCACTCATAATCTTAGTTTGACTTTTAAGGTTAAAAGTGCGCGCGTGAGAAAAATGATTAAACTGGCGAGATGGGAACTTTTTTTTTTTTTTTAGAAATGTTTATGATTTACCGGAACACTGAAGGTACATCTATACGATATAGACGTGACGTAATATCTTACCGGGTTATTCAAATCAAACACATTAACCCGAGATATGCTTTGCGCTTTATATTATATTCCACCGGCACGCGGCCCACTTAAAAATCCTAATTGTCTTTTCACATTGTCGCGTCGCAGATTTATAGATACCTGGAATAAATTACCATGCGATAACATGGCAAATTATTATGGACAAAACGATGTCCTGAAATTCCATAAAACCGACACCCTTCCCACGCTGCCACGCCAGTCTGGCTTTAATGGATCAATTTATTTTGACAAAATATTTTACTTAAAAAAAAATTTCTCAGACCGGATACTTGGACGTGCGGATCCCGCCGGACATCATCGACGAAGATGACCTCTCGGGTCCCGGTAGCTCGGCAATGGAAGGCGGCACCATAAGATTGCGGTGTCGGTCGACGGGCAAACCAGAACCAAAAGTCTACTGGAAGAGAAAAGACAATCGACACATCATCATCAGGTCGGGCGAAACGCGAGAAAAACAAGGTTAGTCATTTTTTTTTTATAGTCAATCTTAACTTTAACAAAAATCTTCCGGTATAATCGCGGAACGTGTTGTAATTTTTAATTTGGAAACTACAATATATATATATATATATATATGTAGACTGTAGTTATAGGACTGTTTGAGCTTTGATCTCGAATAGTCTGAAAAATGTCTATTGTCTGTAATGAAACTGGATGAGGAAAAAGAGTATAGAAGATTTTTACAATATTTTAAAGGAGTTTTAATTTAGTTGCTACTGTAAATCATAAATATATTAACTAATATAATATATGTCTGCGTAAAACACGCTCGGTATTTGAGCATTTTTTCCGTGTATTTTGTTTTTTTAATTATACGAGACGGACGAGAATATACGAAGAATTCGTCTGCAACGGTTTGACGTTGGAAACTCAGCTGCTGTCCAGGGGTATTTTTTTAAAATTTAATTCACGCTCAGTTTCAATTCGGCATGAAGAGAGGGGGGAAAAATTACAAAAACAGTGTAAACTTATAATAAGTGGATTTTGTGTTTTTTTTTTTTTTTTATTATTTCAACTAAGAAAAAAAATGATACTCTGCCTGGAGCCGACATCGTTCTGTTGCAAAACCGTTTTCTGGCCTTAGGCAACGAGAACAGGGTGATGGCGGTGGCGTTTCCCCGCAGAGCCCTCCCCTACAACTCCCCCGCAGCCACCGGGGGCACGTGGTTCGTGGCGAGCAATAAGAAATCAGTCGTTTGTAACGAACAAAGACAAATGTTATAAAAGGCCGCCACTTGCAACCCGTCGCCCGCCCGCCCTGTCGATGCATCGCCCGCCGCTGCCGCCGTCGGATATCAAGCGGCAAATAAAAATCCGCCGTTATTTGTCAAAAGTTTGAAACGGAAGTCCCCCTCCCCCTCCCCCCGCTCAAACCCCTGGAAATGCTACTGCCCCCCCCCCGATAGTCCCGTGCAATGGTCTCGGATCAAAGGCTACATAATAAAAGGAACCCTATACAGTATGTATATAATGGTCGTGGAAGGGGTTTAGGGTGAAATACCCCAACGCCATAATGTCAAGATTTAAAACTGCACTATCAATCGCCGACCGAGATGGACAAAATTATTAACAAAACGTCTCAATCGTGTTTTTCTTAGATTAACAAAACGTGTATTTCCTGACTGATTTCCCCCATTTTAAATGTAATTTATCGAATATATAAAAAAGTATTTAATAGCTACATTATGATTTCTGAATGTATCTGAACACCTGTACGAATTGTTAATAAAATGCCCACATCATTAGTTAAATTAACCAAGTAATACTTAATTTGCTATCAAAGAAAACGTCATAATCAAATCTGTTTTGCTTACATTACCGTAAGATTTTAGAGGAATATTGAGAGATAGTTATTTCATGATTTACAGCGAGATGTTGTTAAAATCCAAATATTTTAAATCGTTTTTAATCCCTCTGACTACTTATCCCTTCGTGAAAGAAATCAGCTGGAAGAAGACCACCAAAAGAGCACCGAATTCCCTTATAGCGATACAATAAACATGAAATATTTATTTTTTAGAAAACAACTTAAGACCAAACCTTCAGAATCTCTAAGTAAAAAGTCAAAACAAAAAAAAACTATTTACAATCCCAAAAAAAAAGGAATAATCTTATCAATAAAACATACTGACAAACAAACATATTTTTATAGAAAATATTTAATTTATATTTTTTAAACTTTAACACAAGCTTAAGTATACATACAGATCATATGACAAAAAATTGTTTTAAAAAACCCTATTTTTGAAATTTTTTTACATAAATTAGTATCATGCTTCATCAACGATTCTGTTAGCTGCCAGCGTTGCATAGCATTCAGTTTTTAATGAAAAATTATTTTTAATCATTTTAAAGAAATGTTTAATGTAAAAATATAGCAATTCAAGATTTTGACGAGGAAAAATCGATGTCATGCCACATCTCTAGTTTAAAGTTTGACTCAGTACGTTATTAAATAGTTCTCTGTTGTAATATCCATTTATCAAATAAAATCGAGAATTCTGACTTAGTTTAGGTTTTCCCTTTAATGGTTAATACAAAATTAGACTTAAAGACAAAATGCAAAACCATTTATTTTAGTTTTATGGTCGTTTTTAAAATTAAAAACTTATTATATGTAAATAGGTACTTAGATGTTGATAGACAACTGCATACCTGAGCATAGCTATTTATGTTTTCGTATTGTATTAAATGAAAAAATTGTTGCAATAAACTTTTTTTTTTTTAATATTCTACTTAAAATTGTTCATTTTTTTGTAGAGTCGGCGACCGTGAAAGGCGACACCCTCGAACTGGACAACGTGCACCGGACCGACATGGGCAAATATTTGTGTATAGCCAAAAACAACGTGCCGCCTACGGTCAGCAAGGAGTTCAACGTGCAAGTACATTGTAAGTAGACCTCAAAATTAACGTGCGCTTACGCCGGATTAACCTTAGGTATAAAATTCCCTTTACCGTGTACCGCAGACCCGAGATTTGAGGCGAAAAAGGCAACAGTTGGCCATGCAGATCCATTAAGGGTATTAATGCGGTTTTCGTATTGGGTCCATTTGGGGTATGATGTGCGTTATAACAGCTACAGTAATAACCACGGGATTTATCACATATAAAATGCAGTGACTAAAGCGAAATACTATTTTTGGGCGTTGAATTTCCATAGAAAATAATCGCAAACCCACCGCGTATAGTGTACAATAAAATAGGTGTATATGTGTTGTTTAAAACGATTAATTCAAAATTCCGCCTTTGCAGTTCATCCCATGATCAAGGTGACCAACCAACTGGTGGCCGCACCTATTGGCAGCAACGTGCACATTCAGTGTTATGTGGAAACTTCACCGAAAGCCATGCACAGCTGGGCCAAAATTAATGGTAAGACGATTCGTTTATAAACTTGGGAATCGCTTTAGGCTCGTTTAAATGTCACCTCCAATCCGACCCCTCCGCCGTTTGTAGCCCGAACTCATCGTTAATCCGCAGCAGGAACAATGAATCTAGTATATACATATTGTCTGTTTCAACGGTCGATTTGATTTACCGATCACAGACCGTCTTGACTTAGTTGGAAAACTGCTATGAAAACTCAATTGTTTGAATTTCTCAAACTCATTTAGCCGAGCGTATTAGTAGTGCTATTGACCGTTAAAATAACTTACCTATCCAGTCGAATAATTGCCAACTTTGGTCTTTTAATTTAAATATTATGATATTGGCATTTAACAGAGGCGCACGTATTCAACCGAATCGTTTTGTAGATAATACAGTAGAGCAGTCAGCTCACCTCTTTATAAGGGGAACTATTGAACGGTCGAGCTTTTAATATACTTCCGTATACAAATTTTTGTTTTAAACTATTGCCAACGGCCAACAGTTTTCAGAATATAAAATGATATAGATGAATACACAAACACGTTAGAGATTAAATTAAAAAACAATGTAAAAGACAGTAGAAATAAAAATAGGCGATAAATACGTTGTATGGTAAAGAAAATGTTTAAAATGAAAGTAACCAAAACGAGAAAATTCAAATTAACGTGTAGAATAACTAGACATATACAGAATTCTGAATAAATGTAAAAGGAATGGTTTTAGAAGATGCGTCGGTAGTACAATATGAAGAGATAATAAAAGAGAACGAAATAATTAATTTCTGGTATGTTATATTGAGTGAATTAGTGATAAGAAGCAATTGAAGTATATAGAATCGCGATTAGAGGTAAATTATTAAAGATCAGAATATACACTGAAGTATATTGACGGAAGTTGGGTTATGGTGACCGAAATCTGAAAGTGACTTTAATAACTGTCAAACGTTCTGGATAGTATAAGGCAGCACAGTACAAAAAAATGCTATCCCCAAATTCGCATCGAATGTCTGATTGTGTTCCATATAAATTTCAATTCGTTCTAACCTCTTTTCGCAAAATTGTAACAAGTCATATTTGAAATTTAAGAGAGCTTAAACGTTTTTAGTTTTGTTCGATATTGGGGAAAAAGGAGTGGGATTTTTTTCAACTTACAGCCCTCGATTATAAAAACCAATCGCACATGATTTCTGATTTTAAACATTTCTTTTGAACGCTACGTTTTTCAAATGGACGGCAAATATCGGTTGACCTAGGATAATAATACAACAACAGCTGTTAGATCGGCACAACAAAAAAAAAAAACATAAGACGTTTGTGTGTTTGTTTTTCTCGGTTAAAACGAGAACGGCTCTATGAATCTTAACATAAGCTGCTGCTGCTGTTGTTGCGGCAACGATAAATAAATAACATTATACACGCGTACACCACAGGCACCTAAATCCTCTGATCGCTCTTAGGGTCGTCGATAAAACAGGCCTGAGTTTGTTCTTGTTATTCTATATATATATATATATATTTCCCCCACCCCCCCCCCCCTCGACGATATTCTTCTTCTTTCCGTTTCTCGTTCACGCTCTTCATATACATTTTCAACTGTTCGATTATGGTTTATATATATATATATATATGTTTGTTTGCATTTTTTTTTTCGCCACCTTTACTGCCGGATTTACGCGTCTCCCGGTAATGTGGACATACTTATACGGGGTGACGTGGTGCGAGGGAGCGAGGAGAGGAGGATCGTTCGGAAAGAAATCGGTTTAATGTTTTATTCTGATTGTAAGGGGACGGTAAAAACTGTCGTGAGGGTAGGATGGGGAGGTGACGAGGAAAGGTGTGAGCTTTGGCGACACATGTTATGTTTACCGTTTTTGCCAGCAGGACTCATAAAATCCGCGTTTCCGTTATGCACGCGACAGTTGTCTGCACCGCCGTTGCCCCTTCCCCTCCGTTGACCCTTAAAGGGGAGGCAATAACGAGCCCCCGCGTAAGTACACTTTTTCTCGTTTAAGGCAGTGGCCTCATCCTGCCGCCACCTCCTCGGTGTTGTAATACACCGATCGTTTATCGGATACCAGTCGAAATTCCAAATAATAATAATAATAATAATAATACAATGTAATACTATATTATAATATTTTCCCGAATGCCATGCTGCTCACACGTACCTACCTATGTATAGTGTACCGTTAAATGTTTATTTTTGAACGTCACCTATAAGCACTTGGCGCTCGTGAACTTGTGAATGCTTAAAGAATATTCCCCCGTCGGTAATGGCTAACAAAACGCGAATAATAATATAGTGCAAGCGTTGTGTAAAATACACGAACAAAGTTGGCAACTATCATTGTTCATTTACCAAAAAATCATTATTTGAATAACTTTCGTACAACTACATAAGGCTAGATAGATAATTAGATAAGAAGAATAATAAATTATATTTTATGTAATCATTTATTATTCGACTGCTTATGACAAAACAATATATTATTAATTCGTTACTTAAAATTTACATTCTAACTTTTTTGTTATTTTTAACTACCTCCTTCTGCAAATGCAATAGAACGTCAACGTTCTATAAAAATCACTCGTACCTTTTGTTTCTCATTTCACTCTCATTAATATTTTGTAGATTTAAAGTTTCTTCAATTTCTTTACAATAATATATTTGAGTTACAAAAGAATCAATATTAAAATTCGTCATTAAATCACCAAGATCTTAAAACTATAATATTTTACTGATTTGGCTCCAGTCTCTTTTTTGAAAAAAATACTTGTAATATCGAATAAATAACCTGAATATTCTAATTATTCTAACATGTTTGTTGTTGTTGTAATATTTTCATCTAAATGCTCTCAAGAACGTTATCATTAGACAACGGAAATCTCATACGACAGTTTTTCCCGAAATGTCGACCACCCGCGGTCAATTTTAATAAGTTCAATAAATTTAACTTTACTTATCAAGTCCGGCCAAGAGGAAACATTGAAGAGAGTAGAAATCTGATACTGACAGTTAATTTTACTGTTAGAGACAATCCGAAGAAAACTCGAGTTGATGAAGTGTTTACGGAATTTGCATTATTTTTCTCGAGTGTTAGAACTTTTGATTGTTAATTGCTAGTTTCAGCAGAATAATTTTAAGTGTTTTGATTACAACGACTGCCAAAAAAAAAAAAACATAATATATAATTTTTCGCATGAACGTTTCCTTTGCCAATGGCGAACGTGCAGCCGGTACGAAGACAACGTTTTTGGGTCATGTAATTTTGCTTGACAACTGGTGGTATTTCTTTAGGGTCTTCATTTCCAGAGTCATCTAAAATATGTAAAGGAGACCAAATATTGCGAAGGGAGGAAACCCGTATTATCCGGAGACGTTCTGGTCGTTTTGTCGAGGAAAAAAACTTTCAGAAAAGTTTTGTTTTTCCAGCTATTTTATAGACAAAAGTCCCAACCGTTTGGCCCCGCGTTTGGTCAGCGCAAGTCGCACACAACTCAATGTTAATTTTATTTTTATTCACCCCCCCCCCCCCTATCAAGTCGAAACCACAGCGTCGCTTTATTCGAGTTTAGAAATTCAATTCGGACGGCGGTCCGTCTGTCATAATATTTATTTTCATAGACTCAGCGGTATTTTTTTTCTCCCAAGGCGAAATCATCAAAGGGCTGTTTCTTGATCTATACCACCCCGTCCGGCTGCCGACTGTCGATCAATCTTCGTTAGGAGCAATTCGTTCGGAGCGAAACCGTAGCCAAATCGCGAATTAGACCTACTAACCGGCACCGAGCACGCTTTTCGCGCCATTGAACTTACAATAATGTGTTTTCTGCGGGCCGTTAAAAAATAGTAATAATAACAACAACTTTTATAAAACTGCCGCCGTCTACCAGCTGCTTAATTTTCACACATATTTTCGGCAAAATTCGTCGGTATATTATAGTTACTATGTATTATATAAATAATAATAATAATTTCAAGCGCGCGGGCCAAGTGTAAAACGACGGAGTGTTGCACGTTACATGAATCGCCCTGTATGTGAACCGCCAACTCTAGTAGATTACCCGGTTAGGATTATAAGGATACAGAAATGTACCTACCGCGAGGGTTTATGGCGCCGGAATATTTCCACCGATACCTCTACCTGGCAAATAGAAAGAAGAGGGAAAAAGTTAATCAACTGGTTTCCGCGACACACAAGTCCCTAAATCTCAATTTCGAACACTCGCCGAAATTTCCATTTGCGCTAGATTATATTTATGCGTCTCGCTAGAATATATATTAGGTATTACTCGCCAAAGCCCTGGTAAAACATTTAAGGAGATATGTCGTTTTATGATATTGTATTTACTATTTATATGTCTGCGCTCGGTTAGCCGGAAAAAAATACAATAATTTATGTAATAATAAAATATACCCGCCAGAGAAACGCTAGGTTTGGTTCCCCCAGCACCCTACTCATTTAAGAAATCCAATTAAATATCAATAAATGTGACGAGGCCAATTTACATATTGTCTCGCTCGAAATAGTTTAGGAGGCCAGATGGGCTTACTGTATAGTGCAGACGAATAGGACAAACGCAACTGTTATTAATAATTGTTTGTACACGAAAATAATCAACAGCTGTTTGTTTAATTTTTAATTAAAAGTGAAATTAGATTTATGGTCGTCTAAATGGACTCTACTGCAGTTAAGTTGCATGATATCTGCAGTCGTTCAATTTTAAATCGCCTGATGTAGTTTTATACTGATAGGTATTACCTAATTAAAGATTGGCTTTTAGATGACATCACAAATTCAAACACTCAATATTTGGGTGTTCATAAAGGAAAAACGAAAATCGAGAGTTAGAAATTTTCTATAAAAAACAGCTTTTCTATAATACTAGGGGAAAACTATATTTTTTCCAGGAATATCGACTAAAGTATTTGTATCGAAAAATTAATGAAACCAAATAAAAGCTGTATGGAACGATATTTCGGAAAGAATTGTAGAAAATTTGATTAAAAAAAAGGGCTACAATAAATGATTATTCTTGTAAAAAAAGTGTATGGTTGACAAAGTCGTATTAACTATAGCTTCGACTTGATTTACCTAACCTGACCGAGTCAAAAATGTTCTTGTTTTGGTCGTTTCTAATAAATATGCTTATGACAGCTTAAAAATACATATAAGTGAGAAAAGAAAATGAAATTTACAAATTTCCATTGCGGTCAGCTCAAAAACGTTACGTTGGCCAAACTTATACTCTGTTATGTCCATATAGATTATAATTTTATTGACTAATTACTACTACTATATCCTATCCAATGTGGGATTCCCCACACTACTTGCATACGTCATTGCTGGCCTCAATTATAATAATGTAATATAATGTCTCATTATTATTTTTAAGGCGCTGATCTCATACCCAGTGCCAAGTATAAAATTACCGAAACGCCAATTAACGAGTATTCGTTGCAAATGAACTTGACTATTACCGGACTGGAACCCAAAGACTTTGGGGGTTATCTGTGCATAGCAAAGAACGCGCTGGGCATAGCTGAAGGATCCATACGACTGCAAGGTATAGTATATCAGCCAGTGTTGGAAAGTAATTTAACTTATGTTTCAAGGCGCTGTAATGAAATTACTATTTAAGTAATTTAATTACTGCATTATTGAGAGCAAGGCTTTGAACACCACCACCCCTATACCGTAAGAAAAAACACAAAGGAGGGTGAACCCCAAAACCGAATGTCTAATAGTAGAAATAAAATTAAATTCCATCCTTATAAATACCCAAATTCAAAAACCTAATACAACCGTACAAAAATAATGCACAAAAATAGGGTTTGATTTGAAAAAATTGTCCACTCTAATATTTACTTTATTGTTTAATCGACAATTAACATAAAAAATGGTAAATATATAATTAATTTAGCGGTAGTGTTAAAAAATAACATTGTATTTTTTAACAAAAATTAACTTATTTTGAAAATATCAAAAAATTGAAATATTTCATAACTTTAAATTGTATGAAATTTATAAACGCCCATCTCAAACATGTTGTAAAATGCCTTATCTTAAGAGGAGATCAAAATTGTATTGATATTCTATATCTTAAGAACCATTGACGAATGTAAACTTTGATATTTTTGGTTATTTAGGGGCTCTGAACAATAATAAAATTCTAGTGATATATTTAAAAAAGTAATTTTGGATTAATTTAATTACAATTTTGCAGTCTAGTTTAATTGCCATAAATAAAAGTCATTTATCCAACGCTATAATATCAGTTACCGATTGCGCGACTGCTGTCAGACAAACGACGGACATATAATTCTGTCCCACGAGAGAACGGTATTGCGCAGACACCGCCAAAAACGCATTACTCTCGTATGCGTCTGCGCGTAGACAGTAGCGACGCGTTTTGGTTTCTGCGCAGTACCGTTCTCTCGCGAGACGGCAGTATAGAACCCGTGTGCAATCCTTATTGTGGCTTCCTCTCGTTGCAGAACTGCATCTTCCCAACGTGCTGACCACTTCGGAGGCGCCACCGGATCCGGAAGAGGAAGACGAAGACGAGGAGGACATAGAAAACTGGGTGCCGGTAGAAGAGCCCACCGAGGTGCCGCCCAGTCGACGGCCATACGACCTACGGCCCGACCAGGGAGTAACCACCGCCGTGACCACCAGAAAGCCACCACCGCACGGCACGTGGCATTACGACAAGGGGAACCGGCAATTAGGCGGCGGCAAAGGGGGGGGCTCGTTGGGGCCGGTTCGGGGCTTCGGCCTGACGTTAATTGTTGTCACGTCGATCGCTATGCTACTTGGCATTTTGGACGCAACGCGGTAAACGCATGACTGATTGGCATTCCTAATATAAAAAAACCAAAAATTTTAAACCAGACAATAATCCATTTTTTTTGTTATTATTTATTACGCGCATAAGTATTACTTTTATCGTTAACCAATGTATGTACTGAACATATAAATCGAACGACGTTTAGGCCAAGACAGTAATTGTTTTTCACATTTTTATCGAATTGTTGGTGCCAAATTTTAGGCAGGCCTAACTTTTACAGCATACCCATTAAAGTCTGTGTTGTAATTGCGGGTAGAAAGCTGTGGCGTGAATAGGTAAAATTTTCAGGGGAGGGCTCATGTCCTCGGATTTATAGATCTGTATTTATAATTTATTATACCTATAAATAAATTGTCATAGTTTAACAAAATTGTACTTTATTTATAGGCATGAATATTGCAATTTATAGTTTATACAGTTTACTATAATATATAGTGCATGTGTCTCTAGTGCCATGTAGTAACCCCAAGTATTTAAAAGTTAATTAATCTAAAAAAATTGTATTAGCTTAATTTCTACATTAAAGACAATTGTAAAAGAAAACGTTTTGAAAGTTACATATCCCGCTAATGGAATAATTATTGTTCTTTAATTGTAATTTATATTATTCTGTACTTTTTTCACTGAATCCGAACTTGAACTCACACTTTCTAGTTTTTTTTTCAAATCGCTTCCAAAATTAGTATTAATGTCTAAATAATAACAATAGTTAACATTTTTAAACTTTTAAGATGATTTTTTTTATTTTCAAATTTAAAAAATATACATTTCTATTTTTTATAATTTATACTATTTATCTCAGATAATATCAGATCATTTATCATCTATAAATAATGAATAAACTAATTATTATTTATTTATTAGGTTACAATAGTTATGTTATTCACGAATCAAAAATTACCTATCGTTTGTCGATAAATACATTTTTCGTGCAATTATCATTTTGGCTTTTTGTTTCGTTTTTAACGACTTTTTCATACGTGACCAGGTAAAATGCGACAACCCGCCAACAATCATTAGGAACACACTATAAGTATATACTAAAACATAATCAATAACAGCTCTTAAAAGGTTGACTGTAAAATAATGTCAACGTCCAATCGGTTTAAAACGTTTCATAAACGTTACTTTACACGACTGGCGTCGACTATATACATGTTTTACTTTTACAATAATGTTTTTTTTCTACTAATTTTACTGACTAATTTAATTTTTTCAACGAAAAGCATCATTTTATAAGAAATATACTTTGACAAACGTTTTCAACATAAAAATGTTACACACATTTATTGACCCCAAATAAAATTCTAGTTGCTTAATACCTATCTAATTTAACTACCTTAGATCTTTACCAGGTTTATGGTAATTATCACTATAATACTATGATACCACTATCAGATGTAAAATAAACGAAATATTTAAATAATACTTTGTACTTTTGAACATAAATTATAGTATTGTTTAAATAAATTACATTATACTCCATTTCAATTTTATAAAATATAAACAAAACATCTCACGCGAGTTACAAACATAATTTAATTTCACCCAACTTTAATATTCAAAAGGATATTGATTTATTTATATAATTATTTCATTTTGATTTAGATTAAAAAAAATAACATAAAAGTCCACAAGTCATTCCAATTTGTTTTATTATTTTTTTAACGTTTTATTGTGAAATGTAATACATATTTATTGTTACCATATTATAAATATTTAAAAATAATTAAAATCCATATTTGCTATTTTACATAATACGTGTAATTATCGTGGTAGATTTTAAAAATCTAAAAAGGTAAAAGGTATATAATATAAATTCTAAAAACATTTCACCATTTTAGGTATACATAATTTAGGTAATATAAAAAAAAACACACTAGACTTAAACCTAATATATTTCTATGTACTATTGTTATTGATATACTACTATCGGATCTTTGGTTAGGACTTAGGACCAAATTCAATATCATAGTAACATTTCCATTACTTATTATATTAATGTTTTACGAGGTGACCATTCAGGTAAATACTTTATAAGCCAGAGTATAAATTGTAATTATTGATAAATATAATTATTTATAATAAAAATATGTTAACATTACATTATTGCATTGTATTTCATAATATTAAAATTGTCTTCCAATAGAATAGGTAGTGATTTTGATTTTTTAACAACTATGTATGCCAGCATAAAATGTACATTGTAATACGCTCAAGTCTGGAGTGTGATATAAACTAAATATCGACCGGATTTTTTTTTTTTAATTGTTTTAAAAAAATTGGTAATTTGACAAACCTCTTCATTGGAATATACATAACGACATATTATAACCAACGCCAATGCCAATCATTACAACCATTAAAAATGTACGTTTTTTTATGGCTTATTGTTATACACATTATTTTTTAATGCTTTACTACATCATAATATATATGTTAAACATTTTAATATAGTAAGTACATAGATTTAAGATAAATTTAACTATTAAAACAATAAACTATTATTATAAAATTGAAGTAATATAATACATTATAATATACTTCCATTGTTTTCTACAGAATTTAATTATAAAGCTGTTGTCGATTGATGTTTAACAAAATAATAATAAATCGTTTATAATAAGGCCCAAAATTTAGTTCAAGACACATCAAAAAACTATAAATAACATGTTTCTTTGGTCCGTACTCTTAACATTTTGTTAATTGAAACTCATATGCGCCAAAAAAATTTACAACAATTTCAAAATGGAAAAAGTCAATTCAAACTAGTTCAATAAGTCAGGCATCTTTTTTATTTTTAAAACAAAAAAATTATATAAATGCATTATTAATAATAAATAATAATATAATAGTAATAATAAAAAAAAAGATTAGTCAAGTGAATTATAAAATCAAGGTAAGCATATAATTGTATTACCGTGTGTTTGGAAGCGCGTAATTTTAATTAAAAATAATAGTATTAATAGTTGTAAACTTATTTATTTCTAACTATCCGATTTAAAAAAAAAAAATTTTAATCTGACACCTGGTATGTATTCATACAGGGCTTGTATTTTAATAAAGGAATGTACAAATTCTTTTAGAGATAAAAAGGACGATCTACGATTACGAGTATTATCCCAGTAGTGCCAATGTCAGCGGCCTAAGTTGTATCCAGGAAACAGGTGCAATAACGTTGTGGCCAGCTTAGTATTTATGTTCATTGAGTAAGTCTTACCCAATTCAGCTCTACACGATGGGCACTGATAGACTTGCGCGTTAAAAGATCTCTTTAGACATTCCTGTAAACAATAAAGACACTTTATTTGAGTCAAAACGCCTAATAATGAACACAATTATATTTTAAATGAGAAACCTTTTCAACTTTCTTTAATTTACCTAAACATAGTAAATGTATATTTATTAATATACCTTTCTATATAATTATTATACAGTTTACACTTTTAATTAAATTTTGCAAAAAATTGCCTGTACCTAAATCCTAAATAAATAGGGGGTGTAATGTCCCTTTAATTACTCAATTTATGTATAAAAGTTTAAAAATCCAACTCACTTTACAAATGTTATGAGAACATTCGGTCGTGATTGGTTCGTAAACAATATCTTGACAACATATGCACAAGAATGTTTCTTCAACTCTATCCAGAAAAGCCTAAAGAATAGACAAATAAAAACAGATCAAATAAAATATTTATATTTAAAAATAAATTTTAATATGATGCCTACTTTTTTGCCTTTTTCTAATGTCTCTTTGCAATCGTCCCAATATTTTTTATTTGCATCATCGGCTAAAATAAGTTTTCTCACATCTTCCTCAAGCTCGTACTTTATTTTAAATTTCTTTTCAGGACGTTTCTTGTTGTCATCACTCGCTTGTGTACTCGTAGACAGACTGTTAGATTGCTCACTTTCTTCGACGTCAGTTTCCGTAAGAGCCTTCTTTCTTTTTGCGCCAGGCAATTTATTTTTGGCATCATTTATCACAACTGGTATGTAATTTTCAGGAAACTAAAAAACATTTTATTAAAATTAAATTCTATTTTTTATTTACTTAACTTCATCTAACTAACAATTATTTTAAGTCCAAGTTGGGCTATTCGTTTTTTTCCTGCTGCAGTCCATGGAGCCGGAGCTGGATCGTCTCGACGCAGAACAAAGCGCCATACTGTAAAACCTGATATTCCCGTTTCAGGATAGTACTTAATCACTTTATACAGACCATCATACCTACCAGAATAAAAATAGATCAATTATACACTGCGTGATATATACAAAATGGCAAATACCAATCAAAATAAATATAAATAATAAAAAAATTATCATAACAAGAGTTTTATTGGAGAGGCCAAATATTTTGTTTTGAGAAATAAATAATAATAAATATCATTGACATCTCTTAAGGATAATAGTTAAATAATTTGCCTACTAAAAATTGAGCTAAAATTTGTCAATGTTTGGAAACCTTAGGTTTGGATAGGTTAAGCTTAAATTAATAAATCAAGCTGTTTATACCCCAAAAAAAAAAGCTTACCGATTTCCCATTTCTGGAGCATACTTAGAATGTTTGCTAAGCTTGTAATTTCTTACGACACGAACTGGCTTGCCCTTTTTCCAATTAACGGCTTTGGCTCCTTTTTCGCTATCAATTGTGGCGTTACAATTGAGCGCTAAAGCTCTAAACGAAAAATTAAAATTTTTAAGCTAAGCAATTGATAATCAAGTATTTGAATAAATAGACATTGTTTTTGTACCTATTGTATCGTGTCAGTTGCTGATCGCAGCTCTGTAAAGCTGTACGTTTGTTTCCTGACAAGTCACGTCCACCCGAGCCGGTGTATAGAAACTCATCACCGTTATCGACATCGTCTTCATAACCGCCGCTCAACACGATGCTAAAAGCGCCTTGATTATCTCGGCCATGTATACCCCCGACAGGAGGACGGTGAATACCTGCTTCGGACACCTATAAATATAATCATACACTACAGATTGACTTATAATAATTATTACAAATTGTATTACGAACTTGAACTCGGAATAGCCAAGAGGTGCCGACTTCTACTCCTGGAATCGGGCCAAAATGGTTTGAGGGCACGATGTTACACTGTTTGGTTCTACCCACGCAAGCCATACCTTTTCCCCAGTCTCGTTTCGACGTTGATGCGGGCGTGTTTTTTTTGGAATTTTTTAATTTTCCACCAACTTTGACAATTTCGTTCTCGTCATTTTTACATGCCGGACAGTACCTTTTAATGATGTTAAAATAGTTGTTAATACATCAATAAAAAATACTATATACTTTACTCACCAATCATCATCTTCCGGAAGGGCTTTCAAAGGAGGATTGAGGCAGGTCATATGATAAGGATGATTGCACTCATCGCACATTAATTGTTTATCTTCGTTTTCCTTACCTCCACATACACGACACCCACAATCCATACAGTCTTTCTTGTCATCATCTTTACATTTTATACAATATAATGCGCCAGCTCCTTGATTTAACATTATTAATTATTAATTGTTATTTATATTAACACTTTCAACAAAACTATCATATTGGCCTTACTTTGGGTAGTAGGTTTTGTTTGGAAAAATATATCGTCTTCGGGAGTTCTTTCTGATAGAAGCTTATAAGGCTCCAATTTAAATATGTCATCAAGAAACGTTAAATGACAATTGTTCAAAACAGCGTTATCTAGACCAACAGACACATCTCCGATGACGTCTCGACCTTTTCTAGTAGTTTTAATTTCTTTTACAAGCACGTCGTACCAATATCCACGTTCTTTAGGATATTCAACGTTGTAATTCATTAAAACACGATCGCCTGACTGTAATTCGCTAAACGGCAATATCTTATAGGAATGTGGTCGAATTTCTTGGAGCTGCACTTCGGTTGGTGGCTCTTCCGGACATCTATAAAAACAATAAAACATCACTCAATGTTTCTGAAAACAAATTATTATAGTACTAAAAATATTGGTATTGACTAAAATTTTGTCTAAGAAAACATAACTGAAAATTAAATTTATACTCATGGCAAAGTAAGCTCTAAGTCATAAATAACGTTTCCCTTTGTTAAATGTACTTTCTTGAAGTACAATATGTGTTTTGAAAGTTTGAAATTTAAATTTGACTAATTTTTTAATCATATTAAACAAAACAATATCAATCTCAGTGACCTAATCGTAAGGGAAGTACTTCTGTACTCATAACAAAAGTGGGAAGGGAGAACACAACTTCTACACTAAAATAACACTTACCCGACTATTTCAGCTACATATACAAGTCCATCATTTTTAACTGGACTTTTTGGATCATTTTGCTTATCGTTAGACGCAACATCTTTTTTTATTTTAATTACTTTTGCTAAAAACCAAGAGCCATAATTATAATCTTTTATGTCTACATAATCGCCAATTTTGAAGTACTTTGATTCTTCGGAAGCATTGTCTAATGTGTCCTAAAACAAAAAATAACACCCACAAAGTAATTATACTGCCAAGTTAAAAAAATATAATATTATCTAAAAACAATTTGTGTACTTGGTCTAAAGAAGAACTAGTAGAAGACAAGCTGGTATTGTATGTTTCATGTTTCCCTTTTGTAACTTTTAAATTTGATTTTTTCGATTGGTTACTTTCGGAAACTATAGCTCTCACCATCAATTGAATAACATCGTTGATATTTATATTATAATCAAATAAACTATATTGTTCTTCGAGCTAAAACAAATTATATATGGTCAATTTGAATACATTAATTGATTAATATACAATATAACCATTAAATATATAAATATTAATAATCAAAAATTCAACTTGAGGCGTTTAACAACAAATTGTTCATTAGGAATTTTATGCCTTAGTATTTTTGTAGCTTGTTGACAAAACATTTTCCTGCATTTATTTAATACAATAGTTTGTCCTTTTGAAATACTTGTTATTATTTTTGAGTTAAACCTTAAGAACACCTATTTTATCTATACCTATCAGGAACACTTCTTTTTTAAATTCAAAGGCAAATAACTAACTATAAAGTAAAATAATATAAATGTATGATAAAAGTCTAGTTAGTCTTGGGCAATGTACTTGCGTAAGGTAATAAAATTAATCATTATTAAAGATAAAAATACTTGTACTTGGGTATAATTCTGATTGCGCTAAAAACATATCTATCTGAGCTTTAATTATTACGTTTCTAGCATAATAATATTACAGTGTTGGGTAAAATTATTATCTAGCTAAAATGTTCGAATAAATAACGAATAAATGATAAAAAAATAACTCAATATTTTCAACAAAAAAATTTATTTTAATACAATTATTTAAATGTACAAGATAATTGTTTTATTCAAAAACAACAAATAAGTGTTGAATAATACTAATTTATTCATTTAAACCAATTAAATAATTGTTTTTTTTAAATAATTGTCGGTATTTGTGCTGTTTGGCAAAGAATTTGTTAATCAGTGAAATTATAAAAAAAATGAATAGATAAACATGAATATGTTAAATGTGTACCAACCATTATATCTAAAGGTATCAACTCAATTACTTTGAGTCAGCAAAAAAGCTTGGATTATACAATGAGTACACACACATTGTAGCACGTTATGTTGGTAACGTGATAGCTGACAAATTATTGACATATGATTAAAATATTATACGAACAATGAGAAATGTAAGACAAAAGTATTTAGCAATTTAAAACTCTTAAGACGGCCATCGTAATTCAGGGCATACATTTTTTTTTAATCTAAATGTTAATTTTATGATAAAAAAATTATGTTGAAGCCATATTTTACTTAGTTTTGAAGTTAGTAATGTTATTATACGACCATTATCGGACGAGCATGCCGTTAGTTTGGTTATGCATGCAGTATCATACTACACAATGTTGAACATATGCGGATAATCGTAAATGACACATACACATGTAATGCGGGTTGCTGTACATAATTTTTATTTGCAGCTAAACTGACTAAAATTTTACACATTTGCTACAAACCTATATAGGATATTTTTTGGTTGGCTGTGAACAAAGCAACGGCACCGTGCGAGCACTTGTAGTAAATGCTTAACAATTAATGATTTTTACTCACAACATTGCGCTCAACTGCGGTGCTGTGCTCAAATGAACAATTTTAACTTAATTTAAAACACGTGATTGAAAAACCCTATTCTAAACAATGAGAGACGTGGTACATATTTTCGGAACTACACACATCTGAGCCCTGATTTTCAAAACAAACGTCCATGTTTATAGAATATCATTATTGATTTATTAGAACAAAGACAGACGCCTTATTAAAATGAAATAAGCTTGTCCTCACTTGTTTTCCCGCAAAAAATAATCTTTGCTTGTCGGGTTTAATATTAAATTTTTCTTCCACGAGTTTTTTGAATTGTTTCACCACCATTGTTCTCGACGTAGGTATTGTTATTGACACGCCGGTGTCCATCATTCTCACTTGCACGTACATTTTCACTGTTTATTTAATAAACAAAAATAATAATGCATTGATATATTTTACACGAAATAATCAAAAAGTCGTTACCTATATTGAATTAAAGATGATTAGTCCAATTTGCTAATTACTATAATAACGATCAACGTCATACGGTTTTCTTATTGAGGAAAAGTCGAAATTATATAGCTGAAAAATTCAAAAATAAACATTATTCTGTGAAAAAAAAATCTAAAATATAATACGTCGTCAACATTACATTAAATTGACTTGACATTTTCAAAGTAATATTATGACTTACCTATTTCAAATAACTAGAACGGCACGACCGGGGTGAGCAATCCGCAGAAAGCGCTAGACACTCATAACTAGTAACTAGATAACAAGTACTAACTAGTAACTAGTAGGTAAGTACCTACAAAGTAAGCAAGGATTGTATCGAAACACAAAACCGACGAGCGACCAATGGCAACTGGCAAATGGACGTCATCACTCATCAGATCTACTTACCAATGGCATAAACAATCGAGTTTTGGCGGGAGACTCTGTCTAAAGTCCGAAGCCTGATAAATTAAAATGTTTAATACCACTGTAAAACTTTGACTACTTGGCCGATTAGTTATCGAAATCGGCAATAGTTGGCTACACTGCTATATGCTGGTACTTTTATCAATTAAAAAGTACCAAAAAACTGATAACATAATTTGTTGATAAAATATAATCCCAGGGCGGCCTTTGATAAATGATAAATCGGAAATCCAATAATTTATACAAGATAAATCCAACGTTAATTTTTTTCTTCAATGTTTACAAACATAATAAAAAATTAGACTTAATATTACTCTAAAGTTCAAACTCGGAAAATATTAATATTGATTCGACATTCTAAATCCCGGAGGACAACTTTAGTTAATTTGTTATTATTGTATAGTGCTATTGTATTAATTTTATTTGCAATCTCCAGACACCATTTGGACTACCATGGACTTAATTCAAGCTGTTAAAATGTATATAAACAAGATGACTGAAGATTGTGGTCCAGGCATGAAAGTACTCCTTATGGATAAAGTCACTGTGAGCATATTGAACTTGTAAATTACTGATTAGCGCAAACATATTCTTTAAAAGAATAATGACTGTTCTTGCCAGTTGAGCTTATAAATTACTGGTCTCCTTTTAACTAGTCACTATTTTCACTAAATGTCAATTTCTTTTATAAATGGTTACTTTTTTACGTATAATTGTGTTAAGCAATATTTACCTAATTTAAAATTTATATTTACTCAATAAATTAACACATAAATTGTGTTTTTATGACAAATGTAATAAATGATTTTCTTCAACATTTTTGTGGGCATACTACTTATTGTTAATTGACACACTTTAAGACTAGACCGATTGTATTATCTATTGATCAAAGAGGAAGCTACAGTTCCATGGAAAATGTTTTTCTTTGAATATCGAGTTGGGAGTAAGACCATTAGTATTATAATTGAAAGTAGAATAATTTGGTATTCTGTCTGTGAATGTGTGTGTTTGTCTATGTCTATACCTATGTCTGTCGATAGCAACTATGTAAATTCAAATTTTTCCCTAAAATTTTATCAGTATGCTTGTTTGGTTGTCTAGATGAACTGAATTAAATTTGGTGGTAATTGGGTTTCATTTTATCAGATTTTTTTTTTACAATTTAAAAAAAAATCTTTAAAGAACATCACCATTACCTGTTAACTACGAGTATTCTGATTTCTAAAATTTTCCAAAAATACATACATAAATCATTCTATTTTGATTGTAACAGACTAGTATTGTGAGTGCAGTTTATTCTCAGTCAGAAATACTTCAACGCGAAGTATACTTATTCGAACAGCTGGACATCAACAACAGTACAGACAATTTATACTTCATGAAATGCATTACGTTTTTAAGACCAACCAAAGAAAACATATCGCTTTTATGTAAAGAATTACGGAATCCCAGATATGGATACTATTATATTTGTAAGTGACATTTTAATTTTTGATGATAAGAATATAAACGGATACGTTTGTTTTGTTTTTTTAGATTTTAGCAATATAATTTCAAAAACCGATATTAAGGCAATAGCAGAAAGTGATACCCAAGAAGTTGTAAGAGAAGTACAAGAATTTTATGCAGATTTTTTGGCAGTCTCGCCTCATCTCTTCTCTTTAAATATCTCCTCTTGCGGGCAATGTAGCTAACATTTAACTTTATTGAACTTTATTATTTCATTGCTTAAAGTTCATTTAATGTGTAGGTCTTTCTTGGGATCCACTGCAGTTGACTCGCTGTACGCAAGGAATTCTCTCAGTATTACTGTCACTAAAAAAATTCCCTTTAATACGATTCCAGGCTTCTTCGAAAATGTGTAAACAATTATCAGAAAAAATTAAGGTGATAAATTGTAATGTTTATTTGACAAAAATATATTTACTATTGATTTTGGATATGTTTTAGGAAGTATTCTCGAAAGAGGAAAATCTATTCGATTTTAAGCAAGGAGATATCCAACCACAAATGTTAATATTAGACAGAAGAGAAGATCCAGTTACTCCATTACTAATGCCAGTAATGTCATAAAAAATACATACTGCTATTAAATCATCTTATTCCTAATGTTTGAAAATATTTTTAAACATTAGATAGATTTAAAAAATTAACGCACTTTTTCATTAAATGAGCTCTTAAACACGTTTATAAACAAATTTTGTGTTTGTTAACAATTTTTGACTTATTCATTTAACAGTAATTTTCATGTAGAATGACGGCGTTTTTTCACTAAACTATTTCCCGCCTGACCCGCTTGGCCTTTTGTCCTTGTTTTTCTCTGAACATTTTAAAAATATTTTACCTGTTTAATAGAAGCCTCTTTTTTTTCTTAACATAGTGGACGTACCAAGCTATGGTTCACGAACTGTTGACCATAAATAATAATCAAGTCGATCTGAGCCATGTAGAAGACATCAAACCCGACTTGCAAAAACTCTTGTTGTGTGCGGAACAAGATGATTTATATAAACAAGTAATTATATTGTTTAATTTTAAGTACTAAATTATGTAGTTTTAATTTGAATTGTAATTTTATTAAACTGTGTTTAGAACATATATAAAAATTTTGGAGAAATTGGTGAGATAATGAAATCACTGATTGATGATTTTAAATCCAAAGCTAAAACCAATCAAAAACTTGATACAATTTCGGACATGAAAGCTTTTGTTGAAAACTATCCTCAATTTAAGGTAAAAACTAAATGATATAACTATTGTCGTAATCTTATAAAATGCCAATTGAATAAACACATATTTTATAAATTATTCTTCTTTCAGAAAATGTCTGGTACCGTTTCCAAACACGTAATTATAATGGAACAACTATCAAATTTTGTATCTCAGAAAAATCTCCTTGAAGTATCTGAATTACAACAACAGATAGCTTGCGACATTCAAACCTCCCAACATTTACAAGTAATTATTTTCTACCACAATGATAAAACAATAATTAAATCAACATGATGAGGCAAGAGGTACAAGCATTTAATGAAATGCAAAGTTAAGTGACGTTGGCTTAAACAATCGGATAGAGAAAATAAGTTGCATTTTATGTGATTGTATAAAAACAGTAATTGTAACCACTTAATAACATCCCAAACTTTTTTTAACCCACTCTCCCCTTCCCTGAAAAAAAAATTCTGAAAAACAGTGTTGCTTAATCTCTTTTGCCTCGTAACCGTTGATAAACGTAACATAATGTGTGATGCTTAATTTTAACTTTATAAACGTATTTAATACTTCAAATTTAGAAAATTAGGGAACTTATCGACAAAGACATTCCAGAAGATGAAGCAAGTAAACTTATTATGTTGTATGCTTTAAAATCGAGCGGTAAAGACAGTAGTAAAGACATAAATAGTCTAGTTCAATTACTTAAATCAAAACGAGTTGCTGAGCACTGGATTGAGGTAAAATATATTTTTTATAATATTAAAGTGTAGTAAATATAGAATTTCAAATATTTTATATTTTCAGCTCGTACACGATATAATGAAATACCAAAGTAAAACATTAGTTGATAATGAAAATACGTTAAAAAATGCAAAACAAATTACAAAACGTTTTTATAAGGTAATTTTATATCAAGTCATAAATTAGCATTAATCCGTAATAATGTTTGTACTTTATTTCAGGACTTGAAAGGAGTTGATAACATATTCACCCAATATGTACCCCTTTTAAAAGAACTTATCGAAGATTTTATCAAATCACGGTTAAAAGAAGAACACTACCCATATATTAGCGACATAAATCAATTTACCAAAAAGTAAGTGAAAAACATATGTTTACTATTTACATTATTACGTTTGGAGGGTTGTTTATCCACAGTTATTACAAGTAAGGCGATGCAGGAAAGCAGCCGGCACAATGTCCTAGAATGTACTGGAATCTTTTCCTGTCTATCTAGTATGATCTATCTAGTGCTAAGACTTTAAGCGAAAATTGAAACCGTTACTGTTGTTTTATACACAATTATTATGTAATTAATAAGCTGAATCACATTTATTGAAAATTGAACAAGTCTTTTAACATTTAGCATTTTCTCAGACCAAATTGGTCTTTTAAATTAAAATTAATCAAAAATTTGTCAACATTTCTGAAAAACACTTAATTTTATCTGTTTAGTAAGGTGCAAGATATCATTGTGTTTGTAATTGGTGGTGTTACATATGAGGAATCTATGGCTGTGCATCAATTGAACGCGGCAAATCCACACGTGAGGATTATACTGGGAGGTAGCAAAATTCATAACTCCCAAAGTTTTTTGAACGAAGTGAAAATGGCTACTTTTGGAGTAGTCAAGACCAGACCTGGATCTCGAAAGCTGTAAATATAATTAGCTAACATTTTGCAATTAGTATTATTATTATTATTATTCGTATACGCTTTGTTATTTATTTTTCTATTTATTTATTATAAGTATGTAATATAATTTATTGTGCTTGAAATTATTTATATATTTATATATATGTTATATTAAATTTTTATTAATCGAATAACTACAACTACTGTTTTAAATGACGACTTGTACAATTATTTTACGAATAACTGCCAACGTTCTTTTAATACATATTGTCTAATATCAGAAAAATAATGTTAGCGATATCCACCAACCTATACCGTACTTGATTTGACGTTATGCAAAAACTCCCTGTTTGTTTGCTACAGTCTGTCGATTAATTGCCACATTGATAATTATTACTAAAATAAAAAGACATTATTATTAGTATATAATATATATCAGGGTGGTCCTTGTTGAAAAATATTTCTATAATTTTTTCATATTTTTATTTCATCCCCTTAGTTTCTCTGTTTGCACGTCATATTTTTAATTATATAGAAACATATAATACAATTTTACTCATGTTTCATTAAGATTATTATTAATTTTATTATAATCTGATGCAAAACCAAATATATACTTGTCGAATATTCAATATTAGATTCGTGTGTAATTTCTATAAATATTCTATCAAAATGCTAATCGCCTTGCTAAGAATTATCCTACTAGACATTCAATTAGAAATTTATGCAAATACGTATATTTTCATATTATTAATAAAAAACTGATGCGCAAATAGGGAGAAATAAAAATATAAAAACATTAGGGATATTTTTTTTTTTTAATATTTGGAACCGTAAGTCGGCCATCCAACGTCATGTCTTATTTAAGGACCACCCTAAAATATATATATAATTATTATTATGTATAACAATCTATATTTTTATTTATAAATCAATGCATGTAATATTTCAAACATTATTATAATATACCTACCGGCTACCTTATATTATATTATAAACAAGGTTGTAGTAAATTATTTGTTATTGTTCTTTGATTTTTTAAATCAATTGTTGTTTGATCTCTCTATTATGAATTGACTATTTTACAAGTACGTTGTATCTATACAGAAAAAAACTCGTACAGTAAGTTTAATAATCATAACGAGAAAACCCCAATACCGGTACCTACCTAGAAAAAAAAAACAACATGAATGAGTTGTAAAAATGACTCGACGCATAAATATTTATCCGTTTATAGTTGTATTTATTGTTCGGTATAAAAATTTCGGTTTTTTTCCTCGGTCAGAGGCATCATTGCGGTTAAGAGCTTAATCTGATGTACAGTGACACCTAAACAAATAATTCTGTACCCACATTAGATACATACCGTGTGAAAAAAATGACTAACACTCGAGATAAAGAATGTCCGGAAAAAAAGATATTAAAAATCATATTTTTCGGAGAAAATATTATTATATCATTTATTTGTAAATACAATTAAAAGGGTATTATGTGCCTCGAAGTACTCGTAGTGTCTCGAGTCGAAAAAATACTATATATATAAATATATTGTATAATATTACTATTTTATTTATATTATATTATACTACTGTGCCCATCCCTGCTTATTGTCTGCTATACGTGTGTACAAAAAATTGGAAACCAGAGATTCGTAGTTTTGATTTTTATGCACGTATAGCGATATATAGCATTAAAATGCATTTTTGACACCTTCGAGCTGTACGCAATCAGCTGTTGATCGAGTAAACCTTAAAATGAATTCTTTATTAATTATATAGATTTTTTTTTAAAACGATACTGTGCGTTTTAAATGGCCTCGAGTTGCTCTGGACATTAAGTGTCAAGGTTACTATAATAATATAGTGTTTGTGCGGTGTGTACTACGATATTGTGTTTGTAGTACCTACGTGCATTCGTCTGGTAAGGGAAGGAAGTGACGGGGGAGTGTATGATGAGGCCGGAATGTTTGTACACACATATTACACACATTTGATCATACTAGAATAATAATAATAGTATTATTTAGAAGAGCAATAATTATTGGTGAACGTTTATATGCGTCATTTTGCCCATTACCGTAACATCAGACCTGAAAGACAGGAAGTGAACCGCACTAACATAAGACTCATGTCTCAAGACTCGTCTTGTCATCATATTATTATAAATATTAACACATGCGTCCGCCGTCGGGCATTTTATTGTTTGTTGACTAGATCGGTCAGAAAAATAAATTGTTTTTTTCCTATTACAATCAAACCGTGTTTACCCAGACTAATAATTCATTTGTTGTACATCACCTTTTTCAACTTTTGGGAAAATACAATAATAATTAAAATTGGTTAATACTAATAAAATTATGATACCTGCTGTTTAAAATTTGACAAAATATTTATTTTTTTATTAATATTTAAACAGTGATTTTTTTTATCATGGGCTATTCAATATCTCGCTGGGTTTAATTAATAATTTAATTTTGTTTTTCGTAGTTTTTTTATATAGTGTGGTCTCGATTTTCCACAAATTTGTTTGTTCCTACCCCCTCCCAAATTAGTTTTTTTATAGCAACTTTTGAAACTTAAATGGTAACGTTTATATTTTATTACTATTTTAAATTAAGAATATTTTACTAAAAATGATGACTGGTTGATAACCAGTTTTGAACCACTTTTTAAAGTTATAAGAGTTTAAAAGTTAGTACGGGAGAAGTGCGGTTGGGAAGTGTGCGCAGATAAAATTAATACTACATTCCACCTTTCCTTCTGCCGTAAACTTGACACTTAAATAATTTCAAATATAGTTGTCCAAAACTGGTTAAAAATAACAGCGTAACAAGTTTTTCGTGACAAGTTTTTGTGACAGTTTTCGGTTTTCAGAGCTAAGACATGAAAATGTCAAAAACCGAGTGAGGTATTGAGTGACCCATGATAAAAAAAAATCGCCCTGTACATGGTGAGAGGAAAAGAATAATATACGATATCATTTTTAGACATCAAATCAAACTGTATTTGTTTTTGGCAATTAGCAAAATATATTTTTAAATACTAGCAGATTGATAATGAATGACCTACCAGACATACCGCATTTTTTGCCACTCTGCAATAAAACATAATATCAGTGTTATTACACAGCAATTGACAAAAAGTAACGAAATATTATTATTTTTTACTATACTACCACAGACATACTAGTATTATACGGCCTGAGCAAACGAGTTCGAGTAAAAAAAAAGTGTATTTTTACATACTTCATTATACATTGCTTTCCGTGAATTAACGACTATAAAAAAAAAAAAACATTTTAACAATGCATTAAATAAATGTTATCCACCGGTTTAAGTGGTTCGTGGGATTCCACGTGAACTTGCGAATCACGTCAGGGTTTTCCTAGATTTAATTTAATTATAACTTTTATCGTTTGTCGCGTGACACCGACAAAACCAAAAGCCGATCGGTCTACTTCAACTTATAACTTATAGTACCCCTCTTCTCCTACTCCTCGAAATTAAATTGACGGTTTTCCCAAATCGTTTTCGGTAACAAGATACCTATCAAGGTTAGGTTATGTACTTTAGTAGAGTAAAAGCCGTAATATAAGCGGGGAAATACATTGAGAAAGACTAAAGATATCGCTTATCATTTTACATAAATATATTATTAGCAAATTGTATACAATATCTACATTTTTCAACACTTGATTACATAACAACTGACAACAGTAGTTGTTATCGCACATCGGGAAAACCCCCGTTATGTATGTTCCGTATACATTAAATCAACAATTAAATGTTCGAACTTTAATTACTATTATTGTTATTTTGTAAAAATTTAAATATGCGAAGGTCATGGCAAATGTCCGCCAAATTCAAAAGTAAATACCTCTAGTAGTAGTAGGTACAGTTGCATTGCACTTGAAAAAAACAATATTTACAAGTACGTTAATAACTTAAATTTTTTGAGAAGTATGATTTTTTATGAAGCTCTTATATGGATTACTTTTTTGGTAAATATACCGACGAATAAATATTAATAGTATGAGGTATTCTGATAATGCACTTGGTGAATGAAAAAGACAATTGAAAACATTTTGAAGTTAGGTTATGCCGTATACAATTTTTGGAACTATTTACACGTTTCGTTGAAAAAACATAATTTTAAAATAGCGTGTCAAAAGACATAACTTGAATCACATAGTTTAGTTAAGCTATCAGAATGCTATGTACTATTAATCATTTCTATTAACATTTGTTGTAGACTGTAGCTATAACAAATAGTATTCATTTTGACTTGGAAGCGTTTTTGATCCCTAGTTTTAGAAATAGCCACAAAAACATCTTTAAAATTTTTATTTTAAACGTTCACATTAAAACAGTTAATATGATAGTATAAATAGTGTGTATCTTACAAGTTACAATAGAAGTGCTTAACATGTTCTTTTAATTTTTCGAGGGAAGAGTATAACTATTAAGTTTGTTGAAATAAAAGCCATCTGTAAAATTTGATCCCTGTTATAACATTAGAATAACGAACGACCCAGAACTGTACTTTTTTGAACTCAATCCAACCCAAATTTAGATGCATGTACGCCATTTGCAAAAAATACTTAAGCTAACGGTAAAAAAACGAGAAAAGATATTACCTATGTATATTTAATATTGACCACATTACTTTTTGACATAAAAAAATACAGCATGTGGGTAAGCATAAATAGGTAGGCACATAATATAATTTTTATGACTCCGGTACCCTCTAATCTCTATATGGGTATTTATGGACAGAAGTAATATCAGTGCAGTATTATAATGAATTTGCTTAGACACGTACCGTTTTACAAGTACCACCGGATAATGTTTTCGTTATCTACCATGTGTGCCTTATCTCTTGTAAAAAAATACACATGCTAACAGGGAAAACCCGATTGACAGTCTCAAATGTCGTTCACCTACGAAAAAAAGAAATTTTACATCTAACGCGCGTTTCGGCATATATTTTCTCCTTTCTTCGCTTTCTCCGCTTTCGGAAATCCCAAACCTATACCATATCTAATATAATGTCTCTCTCTCTCTCTCTCTCTTTGCATAATAATATATTACACGCTGTGCTCTATTGCATTGTACGAAATTTGTATTCGTCGTCGGTGTTGACGAAGGTTATTTGTGTAGGTATAACATCATCATAGGACGTAACCGTTCTCGATG